GCTTTAAACTCATGCCAGGCACATGTGTGTGCGTGCCCAAGATTCCAAGAGGAGAATGGAGGACAAGGGATTGCGGCGTGGCCATCCCCTCTAGGGGGGTGATTTCTCACTTTCTGTCTCTTTCTGTCTTTCTGGCGAGTGCACGTGCCCTATAGCAAAAACTTCAAAAAAAAAAAAAAAAGAATTATTTTATTAAACTTTATTTATTTATTTATTTACTTCTTTTAATTTGACCAGAGAGGGACAGAGTGAGAGAGAGAGGGTTGGGGGGGGGAGGGTGGTGAGACAGCAAGTTGCCAGGTCCAGGACTCAAACTGCGGTCAGCCATATGAGAGTCCAATGCCCTTAACCACCATGTTACCTGCCGGCCCTACTTAGGTTTCTTTAACAAAATCAAAATCATTCTAGACCCTCCAACTTACCATACACTACAGGAGTTATGGTTTGATCTGGGAATTAAACCATATATTCTTTCTCTCTCTTTTTATAAGAATTATTTATTTAATTTTAATAATAATTACGATTTATTTTTAAATATTGCTATAGGGCATGTGTACTCACTGGAAGGAGACAGAAAGAGAGGGAAAGTGAGAAGGCAAGACACCAGGTACAGGACTTGAACTGTGGTCAGCCATTTGGGAGTCCAACACTTTAACCACCATGCCACCTGCTAGCCCCCAAGACTATACATTCTTATGCACCTTTCAATAGTTTAATAAACCTGAGTGTACTAGTAAGGTGCTTACCAGGTACTTAGTACAGTACAAAAATTCTACTCTTGCTTAGCAGTTTCTACTGGGAATGAATTCAGTACATCCCAATGTACACATGAGATTTTGTTCTTACATGATAAGGCAGACTGGTAATGGGCCCAAGGAAAAGGGTCTTTTGACTAGAAAAAACAGAGTGTAAATATTTTTGACTTTGTGGGTCATTCAATCTCTGTTTTAACTACTCAATAATTCTGTCTTTACAACCATAGACAAGACATAAATGAACAAGTTTGGCAATGTTCCAATAAAACTTAACAGAAATAGGCAATACAATGGACTTGTCCCATGAGTCATAGTTTGCCAACTTCTAGACTAGGATATCTGAGCATGTGTTTTACATGATTTAACTATATGAAAATTATATTCTAGTACAAATAACTGAAACCCACACAGACAATACATCCTACATTTTTAGAAGATAGTCTTGACTTTGTATAACTTTATTCTCCTTAATAATTACCACATACATCAACTTGGAATTACAAAAACAACTAACATAGGGGACCAGCAGTTGGCGTAATGGCTATTTCGCTGGACTCCCACGTAGTCGACCACGGTTCGAGTCCCGGACCCCGTGGCTTAAACTCATGCTGGGCGTGTGTGCGTGCATGCCCAAGATCACGAGAGGAGAAGGGATTGCGGCATGGCCATCCCTCCGGGGGGTGATTTCTTACTTTCTGTCTTTCTGGCGTGGCGGTCCCGCACTCATTAGAAAAACCCCCCAAAAAAAAAAAAAAAAAAAAAAAAAAAAAAAAACTAACATAGTACACTAAAATAAGACAGATACCTTTCAACAACATGGCATCTGTAAATATTTTCAAATACTGTATCCCAAAGTCTTATAAAGCTAAACTTACCCGTTGGATAGTATAAGATGGCTTTTTCTTCTTTTCAACTATATAAAGACTAATTTCGATGTCACCCTTTGCAGTTCGACATTCTTTGTTTCCCTGTCTTGCTTTGACAAGTATATATATGCCCTCTGGCAAAAATTCAAAATAATTGGGGCCAGCAGGTGGCATGGTGGCTGAGGTGCTAGACTACCACATGGCTGACCACAGTTTGGGTCCTGGACCTGGTGGTTTGTTTTATTACTCTCCCTCCCTCTGACTCCTTGTCTCTCTCTGGTCAAATTGAATAATAAAAAAAATTAAATAATAAATAAAATAATTCATTTTTTAAAAAAGGAAACCAATAGTTTAAGAGTCAAATAACAAAAATACTTTTAAACATACAAATTGCCATTTGGGGCTGTCCCCATGGCCTAATGATAAAGAGTGCCAGATATCCAGATGGCCAATCATGTAGTTTGCGTTCTCAGCTTAAGCACATTAGGCATGTATGCATGCATGCCCAAAATCCTGATAGGATGGAGAAATGGAAGAGAAGGAATTGCAACATGATCATGTCCCATTGAGGAGTGCTTTCTCACTCTCCCTCTCTCTGCCGAGCAAATGCGCTCATGGCAAAAAACAAAAACACAAACATCTTTTTAACCATTTTTAGGTGTACAGTTCAATGGCATTAATTACACCGATAATGCTGTGCAACCATTATCACCACTATCTATTTCCAAAACTTTTCAACACCCCAAAGATAAATTCTGGAACCATTAAACAATAATTTCCCATTACCACCTTCACCTAGACTCTGAAAATCTACAATCAATCAATACTTTATATCTCTATAAATTAAGGAGATACAAGATTAAAATGAATTTAACATATTCTCAGTCAATCTCCTTCCTCTTTTATAAATCTATTTCCAATTGCTGTAGATTATCTTACACTGACAATATAGCAAATGTTAAGAGTTTAAAAATAACAATAAGTTTGAAATTCAGCCTAAAGGAATCCTTGTATCCATGGAATTCTACTTAAATGACATTTCTAAACACATTCCAAACACTAGGATTTAGTACATATCTATATTACACTCTCAAACTATTCTAAATGATTCATGTAAGTGGAATCGTGTATTATTTATCCTTTTGTATATGGCTTTTCTCATTCAGCATAAATGTTTTCAAGGTTTATCCATGTTGCAGCAGGTATCAGAACTTTCATGGTTAAGTGAGATTTCATTGTATAAATATATCATTTGTTTGTCCATTTATCTGTTGATGAACACTTGAGTTGTTTCTATGATTTGGTTAATGTGAGTAAAGATCTAATTAACATTCATGTACAAGTATCCATTTAAGTCCCTGGTTTCAATTTTCTTTTTAACATTTGAAGTAAAGAACTGCTTCAAATTGTTCTACTCCCAGAGGTTAACATTTAGTTAATAAATGAGCAAAGCCTCCTTTTTTCCTTATTATTGCTGCCTACTTAGAGTAGAAATAAAAGAAAAGGTGAATCAAAATTAAGTTTGCCACTTGTTGGCTGATCTACTAAAAGGCTTGGTTAAGGAGATACAAGATTAAAATTAATTTAACATGTTCTCAGTCAGTCTCCTCCCTCTTTTATAAATCTATTTCCAGTTGTTACAGATTAAGGTGACAATATAGCAAATGTTAGAGTTTAAAAATAAGAATAAGTTTGAAATTCAGCCTAAAGGAATCCTTTTATCCATGGAAGTCTACTTAAATGACATTTCTAAACATATTCCAAACACTAGAATTTAGTACATATCTACATTACACTCCCAAAGTGCTCCAAAATTCAATTGATGGCCTTCTTGGAATCACTTTGAGTTTAGGGTCCATATATTACTCATCTATTTAATCATACTGACTTCATATGAGCTTTAATATTTATATCCTTAGCTCCTAACCCAGATTATAAATTCACAATATTGAGATCATGTTTTACATTTTCAGTCTCCTTCAAAACACTTGCCACAAAGCTGAGCAAACTGAAGCTAATTAGTAAATATTTTTTATGGTGTGAACTATAATTAGAATATGGAAAATTAATGCATAACTCAACTAGATTTAAAAAATACCTATCACTATGCTAACATAGTACATTTAGATTTACTTATTAAAAAGCAAAGCTTTAATTTTTCTTAGGTTACCTTATTGACTTACCTACTAACCCCATTATTTAGTTCATTGACTACTACTCGTCTGCTCCATGCCATGAGATCTCGTTCAGTGGCCATCTGGCTCCGAGGAGCATTGTTGTGCATTTGCCGGACACCTTCAACTTGACCACTACGTCGAAGCCCAATATTGGGGGAAGATATGTCCATATTTGGACTCCTCAGAGCTAAAACAAAAACAAGGAAAAGTACTACCTTCTGAGCAAAGACACCGAAGTTTTCCAGATCAGAAGCTGTAAATAAAATAGGAAATTCAAAGACTGTACTGTTGCAGGTATTACCATCCCTTTGTTCTACATTTTATGTATCCCCTTTACATTTTGGTACCATTATAAAGCAAATACTCCATAAGTGTTTAAATTTTCCACTTAAAAAAAGTACTTTCAAAGTACTTCACATCTAACATCTACTAAATGCGCACTGAATACAAAAATGTATTCAATATGATTTTGGAAACTAAAAATGTTCATTAGTACCAGTATAAGAAGTAACTTTTAACCTAAATTATATTTTTGTCTACTCCATTAAAATGTTTCTGATTAAAACTTGAGTAAAGCTTTTGAAAATAGTAAGATAGAAATGTTAAGGAAAAAAAAGTTCAACATTAAAATTTCATTTTCAAGATCCAAAAACTATGGAAATAAAGAAAAAAAAGTAACAATATTTACTACCCTTTTAAAAATCTCCAGAAAGGCTCCTGTTAATTTACTTTTCTTATATTTGCAAATAAAACACAAAAATAAACACCAGAAAAAGTCCAAACTAACAAACATTGCAAATAGAAGCCATTGTGGTCCCTTTTACTAACAGCATTTCAAATATATACACAGAAACTAGCATTAAAGCTAGCGCTGAATGTTGATTTATTAATGGATGTATATAATAAGCTCTAAGAAACTTTTATATCTTAGGAATAAGGAGCCTGAATATATAGGATTATCGACCTACTTCTCATTTCAGGTTCAGGAAAGCTTATCTCAGTTAGGTACTCAATATGATCCCATCGAAGAAACTTTTTACTTTAATTTTGTGAGATAATATAGAAATCAGCAAGTGAGTAAAATGTCACCTTAAATCTAAATCACTTTATTCATTTCTTTGGAACCCAAAACACTATATTATCCAAATAAATTACCTCAATTACATACATATAAAAAGAAACAACTGTGCCAGAATTCCTATGACACCTACACTTTAAAGTAAAACTAAATCCCTTGATAAAAATAAAATTGATACATACTGTGATTATATAAAATTTAGGTATATAGTATATTTAGAGTGAAGTGAAGGGAGCAATATTAGAATATTGATTTAAGACAGACAAATTTGTTAAAAAATATAATTAATACAGATATTAAGAAAGCCAATTCGAAAGTTTCATCTGTTTATTATTATTATATCTGTTATTTGCTAAGAAGAGGGCTTCTTTTCTTCCAGTGTATTTTCTTAAATCCAAAAAAAGATTTATGTTTTCCTTTCAACGAAGGGGTCATTTGGTAGTAATTAGTAGTAATATCTAAACTTAAGGTGGTTTTAATTTTGAAAACTTTATAGATTAGTTCCTCTACAAAAAGGTTAGATTTTAAGCAGGACTTTCCTCCTTAAAACAAAAGTAAAGACTGCAAATAAAATATTAATTTAGAAACAACTACATATTAAAATATTATCACCTATATTTCTTAAGAGACCCTGAGTCATGTTAGCCACAAATGACAATGAGATGGTGACACTTTGGTAATGTGATAACACAGTTGTAAATTAATAAAAATGTTGATTTATTAACATTGAATATTTTTCACATGTAATTATGTGGTAGAAGTAAAATAATTAAAGCTCATTCATCATGCCTTTCACAAATATATCATACTTACCACCATTAACAGAGTATGATCTATTAACTGAAAAATGTGGAACATCTCCATCATTAATTAGTCTCAGATCTTGCTCTCTCTGTAGCTCCCTGATAATTCCATCAAGTATGCTCTCATCATGATCATTGGTTTGCTGCCCAATTACCTGTTCTACCACCTCACCATCACCTTAAATAAAGTCACAAAATTACTTACATTTCAGTATACCATAAATACAGTTAAACATAAATTATAAATGTTTCTGAAAATAATTAAAAATGCATTAAAATGAAAATAAAGTACAGATATATGTCAAATAAAATAAATAACTTTTCAAACTTTTAATATGACAGCTTTCATGCTTGATTAACTACTGTTACCATGTTAGGTATTATGAGGGCCTTCTCATAGAATAACTACTAAACAATTCATTTTAAATGAATTTTCTCCATGGTATATTCCAAGTTAAAAGTTGGGAGTAGAGATCAAAATGAGGTGCAAACAGATTCAACCACACACACATAAAAATGTCTGCATCTTTCCATTTTGCAAATTTTCTTTCTGAAAAAAGCCAAAATTATAGTCTTTCAAATACTGTCTTTGGATAAGACCTTAGTGTTTTTATGAGTAGAAAAATTCCTTGTTATTGATACAATGAAATTCAAAAATATTTGTTATGATACACTGAAATTCAATAACTTCTGAATGAAAAGTTTAAATAATTTTCTTTCTTAAATATATCATAGTGGTATCCAACAGAGTAAATTAGTGGTCAGCTTTTATAAGAAATGTGTGAAAAAATAAAGTATGATTTAACTTTTATCTCGAATTTTGTGTTCAAACTTTCTCTCCTTGGTTAATAAATATGGTATCATCAGATAATTAGCACATGTGCAATACCATTTTATTACTCTGCAAATCATTTTAAATTATATTTAAGAGATTTTTGCTATAGGGTGCATATGCTCTCTGGAGAAACAGAGACAGAGAGACAGAAAGCAAAAAATCACCTCCCAGGGAGATAGCTATGCCACAATTCTTTTTCCTCCATTCTCCACTTACACATGCCTGGTGTGAGTTTTAAGTCTCTGTGTTCAGGACTCGAACCACAGTCAACTATGTGGAAGTCCAGTGACATAACCACCCACTGGTTCCCACTCTACAAATCCTTTTGACAGAAAATATAAAAAGATATGCAGGATCGCTGAGATAGAAGGTAGGCACTGCTTCCTCATGTGTACTGACTCTGTTCTGCCCCTCACCCATTCAGGAGCAACAGGGAGGCCCAAGCCACTTGACTTCAGCTCCTTAGGGACCCCTGCTCAGCCTCTGCTGTGGGGGGGACCTTCAAGAATTAATATCTGGTTCCTATAATCCCTGATATAGAAGGGAAAGCAAGTAAGAGCTGTTATTTCATGTGTGCTCACTCTGTTCTGCCCCTCACACATCCAGGAAAAGGGGGGGGGGGGGGCAAGGTGCTTGGCTTTAGCTCATCAGGGATTCCCCACCCAGCCTGCTGGGGAGGAAAAGTTGCATAAGGTGGGAAGTACTCTACCACCTTATATTCTACAATCCAGCTCAACTTCTAGCCACACTGGGAGCAGAAAGGTTTGAGTAAATAGGAACCAAACACTTGAAGGCAGGTGACCTTAAAGGATTCTCTCCCCAAAACCCCTTTAGCAGTGGAAGGAGAAAAACTGCCCTCTTAAAATCTGAACCCAAAACTCCCATTGTGGATTCCATACTCCCATTCATGGTAGAGAAAAAAAAACTGGCACAAAACTAACATACATCACAGGAAAGGGCATGAGCACACAGCTACAGAAACATACTCTGTAGAAGTGGGAACAATCAAGGAAATTGCCAGATGACTAAAAAAAATCAAAGAGCAGAGTTTCAAAAAATAGAAGAAAACCAAGAAATACCTCATCTTCAAGGGAACATAATAATACCTTACCAACAATGGATAAAACGCACGAGATCACAGATAGGTCAGAAAAAGAATTCAGAATATTCATAGTAACAAAACTCAACAAAATGCAAGAGAAAACAGACAACAAATTATAGATGAGAAAATCCTTCCATGACTTGAAGGAGAAACTCCATAAAGAAAAAGATACACTGAAAAGAATCAAACAGAACTTCTGGAGATAAAGAATATGATGTAGGAAAGGAAAACTTCCCTCAAAAGTATCAATAGCAGATTAGAACACACAGAAGAAAGACTCTCTGATCTTGGAGACAAAACCTCTGATTTAGTTGAAGCCAACAACAACAAAAAATAACCATTAAAAATCAGGACAACAGGGGCCAGCAGAGGGCACTGTAGTAAAGCCCTTGGTCTCCCACATGATCAACTGTGTTTCAAGTCTGGGATTGGAGGGCTTGAAAACCATGCCAGGTGTGTGTGTGTGTGTGTGTGTGTGATCCAAATCCCAAGAGAACAAAGGAGAAGGGATTGTGGTATGGAAGGGATTGTGGCATGGCTATCTCCCCGGGAAGTGATTTTTCACTTTTCCTCTCATTGTCTCTGTGTCTCCTCAGTGAGCACACCCCTTCCCATGGCAAAAACTTAAAAAAAAAATCAAGACAACATATGGGAAATCCTAGGCACCATTAAACAACTGAATATCCACATAATAGGTATTCCAAAAGGTGAAGAGACAAGCAAAGGTATAGAAAATTTCTTTCACGATATATTAGCTGAAAACTTTCCAAATTTAGAAAGGCATGTGGACATCAAAATCTGGGAAATACAAAGGATAGCAAATAAATGGCAAAAAACACCAAGTTCCTTACAAAGGTTATCCCATTAGACTAACATCTTTTCAACTGAAACAATGCAGGTAAGAAAAGAATGGGAAGACATATTTAAAACTCTGGAAAAAAAAAATTTCAGCCAAGAGTTCTATACTCAGCAAGATTATCCTTCAAATGGGAAGAACAAATAAAATCATTCCAGGTAAACGAATGTTGAAAGAATTCACCAAAATTAAACCAGCTCTTCAAGAAATACTTGAAGAGTACTACACCAGGAAAACTAAAGAGAAATAAATAGAAGTAAGAGAATACAAAACAACTAGAGAAAAAAGGATAAGTCCACACATCCATAATAACATTGAATGTTCAAATTCAATTTTCCAATGAAAATGCTAAAAATGTAGGTTCACCTATTTATACACAAGTAGATTTAAGTACAAATTCATTAATCATTTAATAGACATTTATCTCTACATGTTTTAACTTATAATTTATTATAACCATTTCTCCTTGAATAAAATTAAATACCAGAAGAAAAGTACAGAATGTCACAAGTAGTTGAATTTTACCTTGGAATAAGTTTAAAGAAGGCTAAAACCAAGAACTTTGTAAAGCCTATAAACCACCAAATTACTGACTTTATCATGACTTTGCTTTTAAACATCACTTTGCACATTTTTTTTTTTTTAGGACTTAATGCGTTATGCACAGTACAGAACTATTATCTTACAAGAACTCAAGTAAGAAAAAGTTTTCTTTTTCTCTTCCTAATGCACTAGTGTTATAAACAATTTTACCTATCTCTAACTGGACCAATGATATAACAGTTCTTTTCACAATATAAACTCTCATCTCCCACAGTCCTCTACATGGAAGTCACAAATTCTTTCATTGACTATATTAAAATAATCTTTGTTTTGTAAAAAAATTCTCATTATTTGATAATACTTCATTGTCTGATTTTTAATCAACTTTTTAAACTCTCATCTCCCACAGTCCTCTACATGGAAGTCACAAATTCTTTCATTGACTATATTAAAATAATCTTTGTTTTGTAAAAAAATTCTCATTATTTGATAATACTTCATTGTCTGATTTTTAATCAACTTTTTAAAATTCATAAATGCATTGTAGAGAACATCACAGACAATTCACTATATCCAAAATTATCAGCAAAGCAGGTTTCAAATATTCACAACATAATATAATGTTAACTACTGAAGTGGTGAATATGTTTGTACCCTTGATTTGTTTATTATAAACTGTATATATATATATATACTTTTAAAGGCCATTCCACACCCTACTAAGATGTATAATGATTATATATAAACCATAAATTACAATAAATATTGTTTAAGGAGATGTGTAGCATTTCACTCTATAAAGGTCAATTCAAGACTTAATTCTACAATAAAAAATAAAATTCCATTTGTAAATCAATAATTCACTGTCTCATATCTGAAGGAAACCTACAAGTAATAAAGTAAGATGTGAAGGCATTCTATGTGGTGGGTGGAGTAGAAAGGATAGTTTCAACATTGGAAATATACTAACTAGAAGAAATCAAGTGGCTTTGTTAGAGAATAGCTTATTCTAATGTTTCATTCTACTATCCTCCTATTATGCATCACATTCATCTCTGCTTCCCTGATGTCTTCCAAGATTATTTAAACACTCATACTTTCCTGACACCCGATAACTTAGTATTTAAAACACGAGGATGGGTACAGAGCTACTTTTCAATTGTGGATTCTCAAGTTTCCTCTTCTTAGGTCCATTAACTATAAACTCTCAAATGAAAATAATTATATTCATAAGCAATGAATGTCACCAATTATAAAATCTTGACATATTATAGTTAGTACATTTAGTCATTACTATAAAGTCAATATTATAGAAAATAGGGGCATATATATGTTAAGGGTTTCTAAGGAGGTAGGTCAACACATTCTGTTCTTGTGCATACGCTTGTGTTTGTCTTAACCCACTTACCTGTCTCAAAATCAGCTAAACAATGAGAAAGTACTCTGGTGAGGTACAAAGTACTATACAACTGAAAATTAAAGGAATAGTAGGTAAAATATTATAACCTATGCCAGAATTTAGTAAGGGGCATGCATCATAGAAAAATGGCAAATATAACATTTTGCAAAATGTTTTAAATTTACTTTTGGAGCTAACATACCATTAGCCACATATCCCAACTGTGGTATAAGTTGTTCATCTTTACAATTTTCCCGTCCTGGTACTAGTCGCTGGAATTTTGTGGGATGAGGATTTCCATCAACATCAACCAAGAATGGGGGAGGCATGAGGTGAGGTGCTTGCTGGGTTTGTTCATCCAATACATAGTTATTGGCATCACGGATAAGAGGTCGATAATCAGTGTGGAAGAACATCTGATCTGGAATCTTTAGACCACATCTTTTAGTATTTAACAAATACAGGAATTTATAAAAATGCATTTATTTTCATTAAAGCATATACTTTTTTGAATCAGGAAATTTTTGTGCTCTCTTGTAATTCTTTGTTGCCATATATTTCTTTTAGGTAGAAACAAACTATCTAGAGGAAAATTCTATCTTTTTTCCACCAAAGCCTACAATCTGCATTATTCTTTGACTCTATATCATATTTCTCTAATTATGATAAAAAGAAGTAAAACAACAAACTAGTAGATAAAGTATAAGTTACAAAATCCATATATGCCTATATAATAATATTTTCTTGCTTAACAATATTCAAATGAGGATAGATGAAGTGTAATGTATATAGTAAGATAAAGATCAATCGCATCAAAGACTTTCTTTCTTTTTTTTTTTTTTTTGGAGAGATTTTCACTATAGGGTGTGTGCGCTTGCCAGAAAGATAGAAAGAGACAGAGACACAGAAAGTGAGAAATCATCCCCCAGAGGAATGGCCATGCTGTAATCCCTTCTCCTCCATTCTCCTTTCGGGATCTTGGGCATGCACACACTCGCCTGGTGTGAGTTTAAGCCACCGGGTCCAGGACTCGAACTGTGGTTGACTACATGAGAGTCCAGTAACATAGCCATTATGCTAACTACTACTGGTCCCACATCAAAGACTCTTAAAAGTGATTAAAGTATTGAGCTGACTTCAATGCTTATGAGTTCTCTTAAAATTTCAAGATTCTATAATCTATCCTAAATTCACCGCTAATAAAATATGATAAACCAATGACTTCTCTTCCAAAGTATTTTTTAAGTTTATTTTTATTCACAATAGACAGCACATGTATACAAATGAAAGAGAGACAAAGAGAAAGAGAAGAACACTCTTGACAGGGTCGTCACACCACAACCCTCTTTCTCCATATCCTGTAGCTAGTCAGGATCTTGTGCATGTGTATGAGAGCCAGGCATGTTTTAAGGTCAACTCTGGGATTCAAATTCCTGGTCAGTCCTGTGGATTCCAGCATTGCAGTTCAGTTCACTACTGACTGTGCCACCAGGCTGGGCCCCCAAATATTTTAATCGGATCAGTAATAGGTAAAATAGTCATCCAAGGAAATTAGCATACTCAGTTGCTAGCTGTTTATTCCCAATTTATAATTAGAAGATGCAGTCTGATAGAGGTACTCTCGTATTCAGAGCTAGAAAGCAGTAGAGAATATGTTCTAAGCGAAAATATTTCCTAAGAAATTTTTATACCTACATCACCCTAAATCTCAACAGTGATTTCACACTGCTAAGCCTAATGTTCTGGCAAGGATGAAAAACTACCAAGAAAGGGACCAGCAGTTAGCGTAATGGCTAAGTCGCTGGACTCCCATGTAGTCGACTAGAGTTCAAGTCCCGGACCTGGCAGCTTAAACTCACGCCGGGCGCGTGTGTGTGCATACCCAAGATCCCAAGAGGAGAAAGGAAGAGAAGGGATTGTGGCATGGCCATCCCCCTGGGGGGCGATTTCTTGCTTTCTGTCTCTCTGTCTCTCTCTGTCTTTCTGGCGAGCATACGCACCCTATAGCAAAAACCTCTCCAAAAAAAAAAAAATAGACTACGAAGAAAGACAACTTTTTAAGTCATCTATTAACACAAAACCATTATTAACTGGGAGATTTCAAGCAAAATTTGTGACTGGTACAGTCCCAAATTACAATCTGCAAGCAAAAATAAATATACTAACCTTTTCATAATATTTACTGCATACAAAACCAAAAAGCAGTAAATGCCCATGAGAATCTGTGCAAGCAAAATGGTTTCCATCTGGAGAAAATTTACAATCAAATACTGCACCATGGCCTTGGCCTTCAATCTGAAATTCAAAGGAAGTCTCTTTCATTCATCTTAAGAATAATTTTCAAATAATAATGAGTTGATAACTTCTCCTTGCTAATACCTTAAATTCTGTGATGCATCAACATTCCAATGTACTCTCTGGCTTCTGCAGCCAGAACCCTACTCAAACAGTAAAGCTCTGAAAGAAATTAGGGAGAGTCAAATTGCAATGAATGGAAACAATCACTGCTAGCAATGTCATACCTTGTGAAATACTAAATAGATGATGGAGGAGATTTAAAAAGCCTAATATGCAGTCAAATTTACAAAGATGTTGGCTCAGAAAAATCAAGATACTATCTTTACATTTAAACTTGCAATGCAATTAACATCCTTAAATTAAATAATCCACTATACAAATCAGTTTTACTAAGAAAAGACTGAGGGCATTACTAATGCTCTAGATTTGTATGAAGTCTGTAAAAGGCCAACCAACAATTTAGAAATGTGTTGTCAGAACTGTTCTTAACAGAGAGACATTAACTATAGAGGATCTGAGCATTCCCATGAACATAGAAAGGTGTTCTCCTGAGCAAAGAGATATCTCACCACATTTTCCCAAGGTTTGTATTAAATACACCTTAAGAACATCTAAATCTCTGAATCTGTACTTGCCAAACAACTTTCTGATTACTAATTAAGCCACATCAGAGGCAAATACAAGGATTACAGTCACTGTCATAATTCATAATTTAGGATTATAGTTTAAACATTACATTTTTCATGATTTTGTTCAGGTGTTAGCACCAAATCTCAATAAATTTGCTTTTCTGGAGTTCAGAGCTGGGGACTAGAAACTGGAAAATGCTAATGCCAAGGTAAGAGTCACCCTGGAAGGCTTAATTCTCATCCAACCTTTTACTCAGGTCTTGAGTCATTCTCTGAATTATTGTATCAATTTACACACAGGTGACAAGAAGTTCCTTTACATCAGGTATACAAAATTATTTATTATATAAGAGAAGTTACTCTTTATAGGAAATAAACACTGACTTTTTTCTTACCATGTTAAAGTAATTTCGAATTTTGGTCCCCCGGTCAAGGTCCCAAATGAAAATGTTCCCATCATGACCAGCCGAAAGTATAATCCTTTGATCAAATGGATGTGCTTCCAAAACAAATACTTCATCATCATGACCCTGTGATAAAATCAATATTAAAAATAAAAAGCAGCACTGAGTAGGTGGTTTATCTGGTCAACAGATCTTGAGAGTTCTATCAATCTGTTTCAGATTAATTCATCCACATTAATTTAAAAGCATTTAACACACAGACACTACATGAACAATACAGTTCAGTTAGAGTTCCTTATATGTAAAACTACTGGTTAAAGAAAGTATTCAGTAGCCATAAGACCCAGAAAGATATTTAAACTAAAGATAAAGTTTTAAGAGTTACAGATCATTAGACAGGCACTTCAAGTGGAATTTAGATATCCAGGTCTCTGCTATTTAAAAAAGGCCAGAGAAAATGTGGCAAACAGAATCTTTAATTAATACCCAATTCTTTCATACTGATAACAGACAAATCTTTGTTCTTCATCCAGCACTCTCTATCACTTTTATTCAAGCTGTATTTTGGAAAGCCCTGTGAAACACTCAAGGAAAAAGCACAGTGGCTCCATTCTGTATCTATATTATACATGGGAGTTCTATTTAAGACATTATCTTAGAAATAGATTTCCTTGTAAAAAATAATATTGAAAACCAGGACCAGCAGTTAGCATAATGGCTATGTCGCTGGACTCCCATGAAGTTGACTGCAGTTCAAGTCCCGGACCCGGCAGCTTCACGCTGGGCGCGTGTGCGTGCGTGCCCAAGATCCGAAGAGGAGAATGGAGGAGAAGGGATTGCGGCGTGGCCATTTCTCCTGGGGAGTGATTTCTCACTTTCTATCTCTCTGTCTTTCGGGCGAGCGCACGCGCCCTATAGTGAACTAAGAATGACTTTTACGTTTTTTACAGGCTGTAAAGAAAATACGTATGTGTGTGTGTGTATAATGTAAAACATAAAGCTAAGAATATACAACAGAAATTGTACATTCAAATTTAAAAATACTGATTAGTTACGTATGTGTGTGTGTGTATAATGTAAAACACAAAGCTAAGAATATAAAACAGAAATTGTACATTCAAATTCAAAAATACTGATTAGACATGTAAAGAAACTTTGCTGACATGATTTAGATCACTGTTTACCTTCCTTACACTTAATTTCTAGTCAGAGGATTTATGATTAATAACAGGAGGCAGGTCTTAGCAAAAGCATACAGAAGAACCTAAGCCACCTATCACTTAGAAACATACCAGAATATTACATATAAGACATTTCTAGAAATGATCATATATTATAAATCTCAAAGGCACATTTTATATCAAATTATGGTATAAAAAAGCAAGGGTATCCATTATTACAATATCACCATTAAAGACAAAAATACAGCTTTGGGAGAAGCAAGTGGCATGGTGGTTAAGGACACTAGACTCCCACATGGCAGACCACAGTTCAAGTCCTGGACCTGGCAGCTTGATTTCTCACTTTTCCTCTCTCTCTGTCTCTCTCTCTCTCTCTCACTCTGTCCCTCTACAGTCAAATTAAAACAAATAAAGTTAAATAAAATAATTCTTTAAAAAGAAAATACAACTTCTTGAGACCAATAGGTGGCATAGTGGTTAAAGGCATTGAACTCGCACATGGTTTATTGCAGTTTGAGTCACAGACATGGCTTGAAACTCAAGATGGGTGCATGTGCCCAAAATCCTGAGGGGAAACTGGCAGAGAAGAAATTGCAGAGGGCCAACTCCCCCAGGGGAATGATTTCTCAATTTCTGTCTCTCTGTCTCTCTAGCAAGTACATACGCCTTATTGCAGGGAAAAAAATCTCTAAAAACCGTTTTTTTAAATCTCTAAAAATAATTATTTGAAAATATAAAGAAATACAGCTTCTTAAAAGATAATTGCAGGGCTTTTGGAATTCAGGACACACTGGTTATGTTGCTGTACAGACTGCTTCTCAGGACCCAACCATCTGCTGGGGGATTGGTTCTAGTTCCAGCAGACCTCTCCTCATGAGTGCCACTCCCCAAACACCCCCACAAACCCAACACTGACTCCCCAGTTAGCTTTGGAACTCAGGACATATCTGTTGTACTGCTGTGTAGCCTACTTCTCAGGATCCAACTGTCCACCACAAGATCTTGCTTTCATTTCGAGCAGGCTTCTCCTTGTGAGTTTTGCCTCAACATCCATCCCAGGTGCTATCAGAAAAGGGGGTTTTCCAGCCTGCATGCTGTGCTGCATACTGTGCAGCACGTGACTTGAGCCTATTCACTAAGTCTTATCTCCATAGATCATCCCCAGTTCATCAAAGGCTGAAAGTTTGGTAGAGGAGCCAACAACCTAAAGCTCCCTCATAAAGTTTACCTGCTTTAATCTGGAAGACACAGTCCTCTAATAGGATCACACCTGGAATCTAAGGGTGATATTCCTTCCTGATACTAACAAATATTCTCTAATAAATAGGAAGAAATGAATACTGCACCCAATAACACAAAACCAGCACAATAAAAAGCCCAGTTGACATTAAAAAAAAAAAAAAAAAAAAAAAACAGGAGGAAAAAAAAAAGACCTCTCTCCAAGGGAACAATGAATAACATGAAAGAATTCATTAAAATGTCAGAAAACTCACTCCAAATATTTATTATGACAAAACTCAATGAGATGGAAGAGAGCATACAACTAATTCTAAGAAATGAGATCATTCCAATACATAAAGGAGGAATTTCGTAAACAGACAGACATCTTAAAAAAAAGAATCAAAAAGAACTGCAGGAAATGAAGAATACTAAACAAGAAATTAAAAGCATTAAGAGCAAATTGGACCATGCAGAAAAAGAATTTCTGACCTTACAGACAAAGTCTCCAACATAGACCAACCAAAAAGAATAAAAAAAAAAATGAGGATAACATATGGGAAATTATAGACAGAATGGAATGCCCCAATATCCATATAATGGGTATTCCAGAAGGTAAAGAAGCTGGTAAAAGCAAGAAAAAACTCTTGAATGAAATGCTATCTAAAATTTTTGCACATCTAGAGAAACAGGAGAAATTCAGACCCAAGAAATAAAAGGAACTCCAAATAGAATCAGCATAAAAATATCCTCCACAGGGGCCAGCAGGTTGCATAGTGGTGAAGGCACTGGACTCCCAGATAGCCAACTACAGGTCAAGTACCAAACCCAGAGGCTTGAAACTCATTCTGGGTGCATGTGCACGCATGCCCAAAATCCCAGGAGTAGAATGGGGGAGGATTGTAGCATGGTCAACCCCCTAGAGGGTGATTTCTTGCTTTTTCTCTCTCTTGTCTCTCTGGAGACACACCCTACAGCAAAAATCTCTATGAAGAAAAACAGCAAAATCCTTCCCCCCAGAACATCACAGCCAGATTGGTAAAAATAAAATATAAATATGGGAAAAGAGAAACATCAAGTTACATACAAAGGTTATCCTATTAGACTAACATCAGACCTCTCAATTGAAACACTGTGCACAAGGAAAGAATGGGAAGACATATTCAAAACATTAATAGGGCCAGAAGATGGCATACAGGTTATGTCACTGAATGTACTATATCCATCAAGATTATGCTTCAAATGGGAAGAACAAATACAATCATTCTCAGACCAAAAAAACTGAAAGAATTCACCAACTTTAAGCCAGCTCTTCAAGAATTACTGAAGGGAGTACTGTATCAGGAAAACTAGAGACAAATAGAAATAAGAGGACAAAAAACAACTGAGAAAACGGCCAACAAAATGGCAGGAATAAGTCCACAAATATTGATGATAATGCTAAAAGTTAATGGATAAAACTCTCTAATTAAAGGATATAGAATGGTTTAATGGATTAATAAACGAGCTCTCTTGGGGCCAGCAGGTGGCATTGTGGTTAAGGGCACTGGAATCCCACATATCCAAACATGGTTCAAATCCTGGACCTATTGGTTTGCTTTCTCAATCTCTCGCTCTCTCTCTCAAATTAAAATAAATAAACAAAATAAAGTTTAATAAAATACTTCTTAAAACAAAAACAGGAGCTGCCTATATTCTTTCTGCTTATAAGAAAAACACTTCACTGATAAAGACATACATAGACTGAAGGTAAAGGGCTGAAAAACAAATATTCCATGAAAATGAAAATCCGAAAAGGCTGTGGCTCTGATATTGGACAAAATAAGCTTCAAGACAAAAAGCTGTAAGAAGAGACAAAGAAGGACATTATATAGTATTAAAAGGGCTATTTCACCAAGAAGATATTATACTTATCTTACTGTGGTCATTAAGTAGGTATGTTTTTTTTTTTAAATCATTCTCTTTTTTTAAATAATTATTTATTTTATTTTTTATTTATTCATTCCTTGATTTTTTAATTTGACCAGAGAGAGAGACAGAGGGTGAGAATGAGAGAGAGGAAGTGAGAAAGCAAGCCACCAGGTCCAGGACTGGAACCCTGTTCGGACATGAGGAGTGTTCAGCGCCTTAACCACCACACCACCCGCTGGTCCCAGTAGGTATGTTTTTATTTATTTTGTTTGTTTGTTCATTTGCTTTTCAAGAACAGTTTTAGCTTTCATAAATCAAAATTTAAAAAGTTAAGTAATGTTTGCTTAAAACATAAGTCAGAAAAAAGGTTAGGATTCTGTTAAAACAGTAGGTAGATATTAAAAATTCAAAAACAGATATGCACAAAGCTAAAATCTAGTAAAAGTGCATTGTAAATTTCTTCTGAAAATTTTTTTCTCTCTCCATTCATGCTTTTATCCAAGATAGGCATAAACTAACTTATTTGCAGAAATAAATAAATAAGTTTAGTCTTAATTGGTTTGTTATTTGCACAAAATCCCATAACAATACTCACTGATTTAGTTGGCTTTGCTAGAACCTTTTATAAGGAGCTTCAGATTAGACTCTTAAAAAGTCTCCCAGGGCTACTGAGCCAAGCCAAGAATTCACTATCTGAAGTACCTGTACTTGGAAGTTTTTTGGACCTGTCAGGAAATGACATTCTTTCCTTACCTGCCGGGCAGAACTGTTTATGGTACCAGGCAATATTTCCAAGAGCTTCTGTAGGCTTTCCTG